GAAAAGTAAAGAAAGGGCCGCTCTCATACCTGTTCTTTGTCCAACCAGAAAAAGGAACAGAGCACCCGCTCTTTGGAGCTGAACCGACACGCATCTTCAACTATTTTCTGTATCCATCGAACAATTTGTCGCTGGATAGAAAGACTATCAACTCGTTTACATAATCTCCGGATCTCCTGGTAAGTTCATATAATAATATCTAGGTTTTAATTTATACTCCGTTGTAGGGTCTCTATTTTGCTGTGTGGTTTGAATTCCCGAGAGTTCTGTGTCTTGAAACATCGGTAAAGGGAGAGGGGAAAGGATAATTCCTTTCAAGACTGATTGGATTTGGGGATATTGCGATTAGGTATGTTCTACTTTGCTCGGTTCTAGAGGTGTCTGAGATATGAACAATTACTAATTAGATGATGAAGAAATTATGATTTTTTGGTATAAATGAGACAATTTTATTCATTAAAAGCATCAACCAGACTTGCCCTTCGAATCATGAATTTTAGGCGGGTTAGTAAGTTAAGCTTGCAATACTGTTACGTGAGGTTATATACACACATCTACTATTTGGAATTAATTGTGCGATTCTCTTCTCAACATTGGTCTGATTTTTGAACTCCTAATATAGCAGCAACATTGTCTAGCAAGATCTATAAATAGGGCAGAGGGCTTGAACTTTGTTCCTTTTTTATCATTCCTTCTGATATGGATTCCTCTGCAATCAAATAAGATGTTTTAGAAAGGGGCACAATTTGGTGTTATTTGTTCTTGGTCAATTGCAGTTGCTATTTTTCCAAAAGCTTGGCGGACTGTCCATTATTGTCAGCAATAGCCTTGTTATTCCAGTTGTGCTATTCATTATTCTCTATGTGGCGTTCTCAAGCAACAATGCAGGGTGCCGATTCTTATTTTCATACCCAAGGTTGTGCTACTAAACCAGCTTTTGAAACAGTTTTGTAAAGTAAACATGTTGATGCTGACTGACCTTTGTGCAGGGAGTCTGAACTGCTGAAATTGTTGCATCGGTTGATAGTAGTGCCTCTACAGTTCACATAAAGGGTCAAGAGGTTTGCCAATGCCCTTCTCATAAATAAGTTGCGTGAGATTACCTAGTCGAGCTACTATCTTGTAATAGAATTATGATGCACCAGTTCTTATGGCAGAATATCAATTATTTACTATCTTGGAATGAAATTATGATGCATCAGTTCCTTCATTACTGCATTTTCTGCAGTTTGGTCCTCCTTTCGTTTTGTTTGAGAGCTTGCTATTATGGAATTAATACATAACTAACATCATTATTGGGCTTCTTTTTATTGTTTGAATTGAAGCAGCTCTACGTAGTTTGCATTCATTTTCTATTTTGTGGGGTCTAAAATAAAAAATATAGGAGCAGCAATTGAGAGTAAAGTTGCTATATATATGAAACATTGTAGAAGGTAATATAAACACAACAACACTCAAATTCCTTCATTTGTGCATTTTTTGGCAGCCTGCATTTTTTTCTTTTCGTGAGGCACTATTTCTTGCAAACAAATGCTAGTACATGGAGCTCTGTCAACATAAATCTGATGACGAATATATAGCTATTATACCCCTTTTTTCGCAGACTTTTATAGGAGGTGAAATATTTTGCAGGTTGCAATTGAAATGTTGGACAAGAGCTGGGTTTCAAAACCACGGGAAAGTATTGCGTATCGCAATGGAGTAGAGAATTTTTTGGACTTTGCATTTGACAATTCGGCTGAGGGAGATCAGATTGTGTGTCCTTGTGTGGACTGTATAAATCTGTTGTGGAAAACAAGAGATATCGTGCGTACGCATTTGGTTGTACGTGGATTTGCTCCGAAATACAATCAGTGGACTGATCATGGAGAGAATGTTGTTGAGGATATAGGAGATGCTGAAGGGATTGGTGATGATGATATGCATGGTCTATTGAATGATGTCTATGCTACAGAGAGTTGTGAAGAATCAAATGACAAGGTGAAGGAATTTTTTGATCTCATACAGGATGCTGATCAAGAATTGTACCCAGGTTGCAAGAAATTTTCAAAGCTCTCTTTCACCATTCGAGTTTATCTTCTGAAGTGCCAGAATAGATGGAGTAATGCATCAATGGACTCACTCCTTTCCTTACTCGTTGAGGCTTTTCCTGATGCAAAGATTCCTGCATCATATGGTAAAATGAAGGCGATGATTAAAGGTTTAGGTTTGACCTACAAGAAGATCCATGCTTGTCCAAATGATTGTATGCTATACTATGGTGCTGGTGATGAAAAATTGAAGAATTGCAAAAAATGTGGTGCATCCCGATATAAGTTTACAGCTGATAGTCAGGGGGATCGCAGTGAAGATGACACTAGTTCCAAGAAACAAATTGCAGCCAAGATTTTTCGCTACTTTCCCTTGATACCGAGACTCCAGAGGTTGTTCATGTCCTCCAAGACGGCTGAACTTATGAGATGGCACGAGGAGAAGCGCGTGAAGGATGGCAAGCTTAGACATCCTGCAGATGGTCAAGCTTGGAAAGATTTTGATGAGTTACATCCTGAGTTTGCAAGTGATTGTAGAAACATCAGGTTCAGCATTGCTGCAGATGGGTTCAATCCATTCAGGACTATGACTAGTTCTCATAGCACATGGCCGGTGATAGTTGCCATATACAACTTACCTCCGTGGATGTCCATGAAACCCGAGTACTTAATTTTGTCCTCACTTATCCCAGGGCCAAAATCACCTGGAAATGATATTGATGTGTACTTACGACCTTTTGTTGATGAGTTGAAGATCTTATGGCATGAAGGAGTCATGACATACGACGCTCATAGTAAACAGATGTTCAATATGCATGCCTGTTTAATGTGGAGCATCAGTGACTTCCCGGGATATGCCATGTTATCTGGTTGGAGTACAAAAGGATACTTTGCTTGTCCTAATTGTAATTACAACACGTGCTCTCAGTACTTGTATAAGAGTCACAAAATATGTTACATGGGTGCACGCAGATTTCTTGATGCAAAACACAGGTGGAGGAAAGAGAAAAGCTCTTTTGATGGCAAAACAGAGTTCAGATTGAGGCCGGAACAATTATCTGGTTCACAAATCAAAGAACAGTTGATCGGATTCATCAACGATTTTGGCAAGGAAGAAAAGAAGACAATTGAGAAAAGAGGTGCGTTCTCGAAGTTGTCTATTTTTTTTGAATTGCCTTATTGGGAGCATAATACACTACGCCATAACCTTGATGTTATGCATATAGAGAAGAATGTCTGTGACAATGTTTTAGGAACGTTGTTAGACATTCCGGGGAAGACCAAAGATCATTTAAATGCTCGTCGTGATTTAAAGGATATGGGAATTAGAAAGAGCCTTCATCTAAGAGAATCTGAAATTCCTAAGAAGAGTAAGTTGGTGAAAGCTTGTTATACCCTGGTTAACCATGAAAAAGAGATTTTTTGTGGGGTCTTAAAAGGCGCTAAAGTACCAGATGGCTGTGCATCAAATATATCTCACTGTGTGAATGTAAAGGAGAAGAAAATATCTGGGTACAAGAGTCATGATGCTCACTTTATCATGCAATACTTGCTCCAAGTTGCAGTACGTAGAACTTTGCCAAAGAATGTGGCTATCGCTTTGATTAGACTTGGTTCCTTCTTTAAGTCTGTTTGTCGTAAGGTGATAATCTTGAGCGAATTAGATAACTTGCAGACTGAGATTGTTGAGACATTGTGCCAATTAGAGCGAATATTTCCACCTACATTCTTTGATATAATGGTTCATCTACCTATTCACTTGGTAGAAGAGATTAGACTTGGCGGGCCTGTGCAAACTCGATGGATGTACCCGATTGAGAGATTCTTGGGTGTTTTGAAAGACTATGTGAAAAATAGAAGTCAACCAGAAGCATGCATAGCTGAAGTTTATTTAGCTAATGAATGTTTAGCGTTCTGCTCAAGGTATTTGAGTGAGAACGGTGATACAAGATTCACTCGGCCTTCAAGAAATCATGAAGGGATGATTTTGGAAAAAAATGCAAAAGCTTTATTCCCAATTATTGGCCGACCAATTGTAGCAAAAAGGAATGGGAAGGGTACAATGGTTGAATTGGGAGATAGTATTATGGACCAAGCACGACGATATATCATTTTCAACTGTGAGGATAACTGTCCAGAAATATCAGCATATCTCAAGTAAGTAGTTGCTTGTATTCGTCTTTAACTTGAGTTGTTTCATTGTTCTGTGAATTTTATCTCTTTTTCACATAAACTGCAGAGAGTACGAGCAACCACCAACCAAGAAGCGCAAGGGTGGAACAAGGTGGGCAAAAGAGAGAACCCAATCCCAAGATATAGTACAATGGTTGGAGTCTCGAGTCGAAAATGATGTGGCTGCTTCTGACACTATCAAGCAACTAGCTTTCGGCCCAAATCCTGCCAATGTTCAGAGCTTCTCTGGATATATTATTAATGGCTACAGGTTTCATACTCTGAAGCATGATAAGCGTCGTCAAACACAAAGCAGTGGAGTAACTTTGACAGCTATGACATCTAGTTTTGCTAGTGCTAGAGATAAGAGTCCTGGTGCTCGCTAATGTTGCTTATTATGGGGCTGTTGAAGAGATTCTGCAGTTGGATTATTATGGACACTTCAAAGTTGTCCTGCTCAAGTGCAAGTGGTTTCACTCAGAAAGGGATGACTATGGGCTTATTCGGGTTAATATGAAGAAATTAATATACCAAAATGACCCGTTTGTCATGGCAAATCAGGTAAGCCAAGCATTTTATGTGCAGGATCCCGTGGAACAAGATTGGCACTATTTCATGGAGGCAATCCCTAGGGACTTGTTTGACATGGGAGCTGAAAGTTTGTTAGATGAGGATGATTCTTCTTCCCGAGAATTCAGAGTTGATGATTTGCCGACTGCTGTACCAGTTGATAACAGTGACATTCAATGGTCACGGGAGGATGTCGACGGAACACTAGTTGACAACCCTATAGATACGGCTAGGCAGGATGATCATGCTCCAACTGAAGCTGAATTGTCAGATCATGAACATGAATACCCAAGAGAAGCTGAATTGATAGAGCATGTATGTCAACACACAAGAGAAGCTGAAATGACAGATGACGAAGACGGATTCTCAAGTGAAGATGAACTGGTAGTTGGTGAAGAGGAACACTCTTACTGGTAGGGGGATCATTGCATACTCAAATTTCGATAATGATACCTGGTTTTAATGGTTTATTTTAGAAGTTGGCTTCCTATTAAATTAGTATCTGATTTTTTTCCTGCAGGTCTGAGGATTCCACATGATCAACGACAATGGAGGCTGTTGGAATAGTTCTGCACCATCTATCTAGTGATATGAAGGAACGAGTCAGAGATTGGATGCTAGTTTTAATAGTGCTTTCTCTTTACTGTTTGAAGTATCTCTTTCATTACTGTGTTTTTTGGCAGCTTACATTGCAGTTTCTCATTCAACGCAGCTTAATGAACTATATATTAAGTTATAACTACCTCCTTCCCATGTTTGAATTATATAAAAGCTTATGCCTTAGTGTGATACGTTTTTCTACTGTGGTTGGAGCTTAGAAATGGACCCGAACTTAGATCTTATGACACTTGTTCATTCATATAGCTGCAGATAGATTCTGACAATGAAACATAAGCTTTACAAAGAAGTACTTTAGCTGCATTATGCGAGGAAAAGATTGTTGGAAATAAAAGAATTATTTCCTTTAATAATCTGGTGGGACTTGGGGGTTTTTTCTTCTTGTTATGGTGGGCACGTATAAGACAGGAGGGGAAGCTTTTATTGGTGGGAAATGGGACAAGAAACTTGGCAGAGAGAATTTGGACGAGCACTCTCTTATTGGCTCTGGCTTTTCTATCTTGCTTTGATGATTTGCCGACTGCTGTGTACTGGACATGAATTATTTAGTTGTGCCTCGTCCAATGCAGCAAACTTCTAGTTTCCAGAATGAGATTTTGTAGATTATACAACTTTACAAATGCATACATTTAGATTGGTAACAGAGAATCCTTTTTCATACTGAAGTTAGAACCGGAGGACACTTTACTTACCAAACACTGAGATCATACTGTAGTACACGTTTCTCACTTCATCTCTTTCTCACAAAACAAGAGTCATTCCAGCACCATAAACAACAAACACCAACACACTTTCTCATCCTGCTGGCTTTGAAGAGAAGAAATCAAATCTCACCATCCACACGTACATATCAGATAATGTGAAGCCACCTCCAATTATATGTCTCCTTCCAACAGTATACACGCACCTCTCTTGATTTAAAGAAAGTCCACCCCTTCTCAATCACTAGTATTTCTTGCTGTGAGAAGAGGCAAGCATTCAGCTAATGACCTACCACTTGGTTACTTGGAAGAACCTATCATACGATAAGACACAAGCTTGATCTCCTAAGGAATAATAGCTAAAGCAAAAGTTCTGTTTTATTCATAAAAGTAACAAATAAGGTACGTAAACACAGCAATAGAGTCTCCCTAAATACCATAAAACTTAACAGTAACTGAAACCCTCCCCATGTGTTGGTTGACCAGGCTTATTCTGTTGCATTTGGGTTGGGCATTTCCTTCCGACCACTTGTGTTGACCTCGGCAGGATGGTGAGCGAAACAAAAGCAAAAGCAAGTACTTACCTTGTGGACGGGGCAGCTGAAATTGGGAACAATCTCAAAGAAGTTTTGAGAAATCACTCATATATGATATTCTTAGATTGTGCAAGGTTTACCGTGATATATAAGAGCCCAAGTCGGCGGTAAATTTTAACGAGGAAGGAGGGAAACAAAAAAATCTGCCATTCCCAAATTCCAAACTTAGCGGGAAATTCCATGTCTTTCTATTCCTTGTCGATCACATCGCCCGCCAAAATTGTTAATATTATTAAAATCAAAATTAATTATGGTAAAAAAACTATATTTGTAATATTGCTTTTAATGTTTATCAATGAAGTTGTGATGATCAGATTATTGTCACTTAACGTTTATATAGTTATAGATTACCAATATTCTTTCTACCAAAAGATAATTGAGTATCAATAATCTGAATCTGATCTTACAGTCCAACACTCTCATCTCTGCCAAAAAAATTCCCTTCTTTCGATGGTTATTTTGCCAATTTTATTATCCAATTCGAATTGGTCACGAGTAGGTATGAAAATGAGTCGATATGCAAATGAATTGGTCACAATTAGGAGTACAAATGAGTAGAGTTCAGTCAAGTTTGGACCTAAGTTAGCTCAGTCCATTAGTAAACCAGTAGAGCTCGAGCAAGGCTCTTTTATTAAAACCTCAATTGTTTCGTGTTTGATTCGAGTTCAACTTGACCTCGGCTCATTAATCATCTATGATAAAAGTTGTATAGATAAAAAACCTAATTATGGTATGCATGTTGTTGGAATGTATTGAATATATGTATACAAGTGGCAGCATGTATCTCACTGGTCGGGCATCGTGAAAAAAAAAAACTTATATTGTACAAACTGAACTTATAAGTACTTCTACGTTATATAGAGTGCAATCTGCTTTGCCTACCAACATGAAGTTCTCACTTCTCACTTTAGACAATACGAAAATTAGAGGCTAGTCGCTCCTCAATCATTGGTCTTTATGTGGAATGGCCGAATAGACCATGTCACACCTTCTTATACCTTTTTCAAAAATTTCATATAAAGTGTACAAACTGAACTTAAACCATAACATTAAACCGTAATATAAGAGTATAATTTTTTTGTTGTACAAACTGAAGTTATATATTTAATGTTAGGGTAAATGCCACATTTGATCACTGGATTTACTGAAACGTGTCATGTTTAGTCACAAAAATATTAATATCAAATTTGGTCACTAAAATTACTGAAACAACTCATACTTAGTCACTCTCCATTAGTCTCCGTCCAACTGCGTTAACGGAGTACTTTATGCACTAACATGGCTAACGGAACCGCCTAGTCAACATCGTTTTGGACTGGAATTAGTCAAACCCGACCCGCCACATCACTAAACCCTCCATATCATATGCCCAACCTCACCCATTAACCCAACCTGACCCAATCAAACCCTAACCAGACTCGACCATGTCTCACCGTCGTTTGAGAGTCCTTTCTCCTCTCTTTCTTCAATTTTAGAGAAGTTGACCAACATGGCCTTCTAATTAGGGCTTCCGGCGATGACGATGAAAGCATCCAGGGAGGAAGCCAGGTAAGGTGAAATCGATTGAAGCTAGAGCAAGGAAGGATCCCGTCGTCAACTTGTAGATTCGCGAGGCAGATCCACCTTCGCAACGAAAAAGGATGAATCAATATGTGCTTATACTTTTTGGTCTGGTGGGGACCTGACCATTGCACACCTCTAACTCTTGCTTCACTCCCATTTTGTGTCACTTTAATAAGCAGTCCTACTCATATATAATAAGAAAACATTGTAGTACGACTTCAATATGTTATTATACCTTTTCAAAAATTTCATACAAACTAAACTTAAACCATAACATTAGTACAAATTTCATATTAAAAGTCTCAATAGTCAATTATAAGTATTTTATCCATCTAAATTTGTATTATCATAGTATACAGCCGTAAAGGCAATTGGCAAACACTATGGAATGTACTTTCTCGATAAAAAATTATAGGCTAGGGATCTCTGTTTTACCAAAACTTCTTCCTTAACTAAGATTTTTTATTTAATAATCTGCTTCTTCCTTAACCAAGATAAATCCAATAAATCTTCCAAAAAAAGAAACAGTAACTCTTGGGAAATCCTCCTACCCATAACAAATACCCGGACTTTCCTATTCCAAATTAATCTCTATGATAATTAAAATTAAATTCATGACTTTTATACTCTTCACCTCCCGAGCGCTGAAAACCTCTTATTCTTTGCATCTGCCGCCTAATACAGCTCTCCCGTTCTTGGACGCAGCCCTTGTTCCCCTGTTAATCTCACACAATTCCGCCGCTCTACCCGATTTATTAAGTGCTTGGTTAGTGTTTATATCCTGTTAATTAGATTTTGTACTGCTCGTAGGCCTTGAGTTAAGATGATTTGCAGCGTTCTCTTGTGCTCTTCTTCTCGAGATATGCTATGTTGCAACCATAACCATTTACGAGATGTTTGGTTGATTCGGCCGGCTTTTTTGTTGCTCCCTCCTTCCACCGAACTTTGTGATCTGCTCTTTTACTTTGCTTTAGCTAGCCAAGATGTTTCTGTTCAGCATCTGCTTATTTTCTTGACTTCTTCACTATTGCAGTCTTGTTGTCCCCTGTTTCTTATGTTTACGGGTGCTGCTGTCCAATTTTTTCCCGTCCAATAAGAAAATGATAAAGCCCTTTTTTTCATGTGCATTTGTACTCACAAACATAACAGAGCGCTTATGTTTGCATTAACCAAATAAAGTCACGACTTTTACCTTCTTTTCCCCTTTTACAATGAAACCTTGTTTTGATAGGGGTCATGAGTTCTTCTTATCTTGTGTACTCGACAAAAAGAGCAAGGGAAACACCAGTAGAGCAATCTAAATCAACGACCTCTGACAGCGATGAAACAAGATCTGAGTTGCAAGATGCATTGTATGATTCTGATGAGACTCAAAATCATAATGAACCCTTACGTGCGGGACACTCTTTTGTACCCGAGTCAGAATTCGAATCCGAGGCTTCAAAAGGTACCGTTCATGTTAAATTTCGAGTTAGTTCTATAATAAAGTAAATATGACATATTACATATATATTTTGTTACAGTGAAGAAAAGAAGAGGCAAAACAGCATGTAACGCAGTTGAGCTAGCAACAAGGAATGGAAACAAAATCGTGGTGAATATCTCTAGTGATGGTACAGAAGCTATAGGTAAGAACGCGCGGAAATTTGTAAATTTTTGTGGACTCGTAGTGAGAAGCAATGTGAAGTTGAGCATTGAGACATGGAGTAAAGTGGACGGAGCTCAGGTTGATAAATTATTTAAATTGGTGGAGGTAAAGTTATGACTTACTATTTTCATTTATATGTTTACAAACTATCGATGCTACATTAATTGTTGGTTTTTATTTGTAGGAGAAATTCACTAATAGCAATAAGCAAGCTCTTAGAGATCTTATGTGGATCAAAATGAGCTCAGCACATTCGAGTTGGCAATATCGTGAGCGCAAGGACTTCCTTGCTCTTGATGATAACCAAAGGGGCGTCTATGTTCCTGAAGGTGTTGATGCTGAGGACTGGGCACGAGCTGTTCAATATTGGGTTTCTGATGACTTCAAAGTACGTATATACATTTACATGTGAAGTTGTAAATACTATAGTTATTTATAAATGTTTGATTATTATTAACATATGTTGAATTTAGGAAATGAGTAAGAGGAATAAGCAAAATAGAGAAAAGGTGAAAGGGAAAAATACT